AGTATATACTAATTGAATTGTTTAATCTATTTATTCTCCTTCATTTCACATAACAATTGGTTATGTTGGAGGGATGATTTCACTATACATGTTTTTTAGCACCTAACATATTTACTGATGAAACATAGTCAACATGTTTTTTTAAAATTTTGAAAAGCATCTAGACTATGTTCTTTTTTTTCCTAAAAGAGAAACATACTTACAATGAATAAAAAACTTAATAAGTTCAAGAAAAATTAGTGCTCAAATATTTTGACGATTCAAATACAAAACTTACCAGATACAAAATGTTTTGAGCATACTTAGACATGTTTTGCAACCTAAGTTTGTTTTAGCAAGATGAATCAGTTCTATATAAAGCATAAAGCCACGATTTTCTTCTCTTTGGATCAGGAAGCAAAATATAAAAAACCAAGTTCGGATGACCAATAGCATTAATTGAACAATCAAAAACACATTTCTCCATTTTCAAGCGCTTTGTTTGCCCCCATACCATAATGGTAGCCGTTAAGTTAGTTAAAGTGACGTCACGTTCGCCGCAAGAATAATATTTGTGATGCTTTTGGAAACTTTTGTAAAAGATCACGAACTTGAAAATTATGCTGAATCTATTTTAGAAGATGAGTACTTTTAAAAGTTTAAAAAATTGCATAAACCTAAAAAGCACTTATCAACGATATAGCTGCTGAGAATGATAACAATTTTAAATTAAACTCTAACATCGAGACTTTGTTTTCACTAATAAAAAATGTGTTTTGCAAGATTATGGGAGGCTCTTTTTATGGTAATTAAATTATTGAGCAATTTATAACTCTTCCTAAAATTTGTTCTAAAAGTTTAAACGAGTCTTTATAAGTTCGTTATTTTGGGAATGTAGTAATTCACAGCAAAACAATTTTAAATTGTGGTGATGAATATGAAGATTCTGCTACATTATTATTAAGCAAACTTGCAGATAGTATATCATCTTATTATAAAAACATATTTATTGTTAACAATGATCAGACATTAAATACACCTGCAATATGTGATTGGGAAAAGTAAGGATTGCAAAACTTGGAGGTTATGTTATTCAAAAAATTTAAAACAAAATTCAAAATTCTTGAACTATTAATACTCAATTACGAAAAATAATGCCTATTTTAGAAAGCTGTTAAAATAAAACAAAAAATATAACTGATCAAAAGCTTGTCACTTGTCTTAATTGTGGTGAACTTACTGGCATTACAATTGAGTTTAAACAAATTTTAATTACATCAGAAAAAACATTTTTTTTATATACAGAACAGTCAAAGCTTACCTAAAGTATAGGCAGATTTTTTGATCAAAAAAAGAATCTGTGATAAAGATTTAGATAAATATTACAGGGCTATTATTGAAAAATGTGATTTAAAAATTGAAAAAGATAGTCAAAATTTAAAAATTGAAAAAGATTGTAAAAATTCTACTTTGATACTAGGTTTATATTTTCGAAGTTTGAAGTCATTTCTTCGCTAAAGACATTGTTAATAAACATTAAGCAAAAAAAACCAAAAACAGGAGAACAACCAAAGAAAGGATTACATAAAAACATGAAACAACCATATGGACTAAAAGAAAAACTTAAAAAATAATGTTTTTGTTTTTTCTATTCTAAATATAGTTCTTTTTTTACTTGAGTAAAAATCAACTTTAAATATTTAAGTCAAAAAAAAGTCTAATGTGTTATTTGCTCGTTTATTTTCTTTTTTTTTTTACTGTTGTACACTTTTTTAAATATAATGTACAATATATATATATATATATATATATATATATATATATATATATATATATATATATATATATATATTATATATATATATATATATATATATATATATATATATATATATATATATATATATATTTATATATATACATATATATATATATATATATATATATATATATATATATATATATATATATATATATATATATATATATATATGTATATATATATATATATGTATATATATATATATAATGTACAATATATATATATATATATATATATATATATATATATATATATATATATATATATATATATATATATTTTATATATATATATATATATATATATATATATATATATATATATATATATATATATATTATATATATATATATATAATGTATAATATATATATATATATATATATATATATATATATATATATATATATATATACATATATATATATATATATATATATATATATGCATAATTTTTGTTTCAAAGATCCAAGTTATACATTTTATATATAATGTTGATTTTTAAAAGTTTTGAATACCAAGATTTGTTATAAAATCATGTTTTTGTTTTTTTTATTTTATTATTAAATCTTCAGAGATGTTTATCCAAGCTTGTTTATTGTCATATGAATCTCTAGTATTTCCAGTATTAAGCAAAACACTTTGTTAAATACATATTGCATTAACATTATAGCAAAACTGTTTAGCATCAGGGTTATCTGAATAGCGCCCAATTTTCTTTTGAGCACTAAAATATTCCTCCATTGAATCTTGGCAAAATCTTGTAAGTATGTAACCCTAACCCTAACCCCTGAGGGGCCCCAAAAAATTTTAGAGGACCTTTTTTTTTTTTTAAGTCTTTTATAGGCTCTGGTCCATAAAAAGGCTTTCAAAAACAAAAACTGCCCCGGGCCAGAAGAAGTCTTTATCCGCCACTGTATATAGTACTTATTTTTTGTTTTTTATTCTTAATTTGGTATTTTTTTTAACGCATACATAATAAATGATGCATATTTTTATTCTATTAAGATTCAATGTCATTTTAGTTCAAATGAATTATCTATTGATGAAGAACAAACCTACAAAAAATAATTGTGGTTTGTTGATTATATTTTGTGATATTGAGTTTTAAAGTTTCCTTATTTTTTGGTTTATTTTTTTATATAAGTATGGGTTGGCGAGGCAAATTAATAAAAAAAATTGTCAACTTATTCTTAATATAAATTCAAATTTTCGTGAGTTTCGTGAATACGAAGTTCACTGTTTTGAACTTACGCCAAACTTACGCCAAACTTACGAAAAAAAAAAGTTTGATGAATACGCACCCTGATCTCAGGAAATAGCTGCTTATTAACACGGAAATAGCGGTTTACGGAACCAAATTATGTGCTGAAATTCTGTGACTCGTTTTTTTGGGGAAAGCGGAATAGTATCGAAAATTAAATGATCGAAAAAATGATTAGTATCGAAAAATAACTGACCGAAACTCATTTTAATGATTAAGATCGAAAATGTGATTTTCAGATTAATATCGAAAAGTTTTTATATCGAAATTCACAAATGTGGAACAATATCGAAAACAATAAAATCAGAATAAGATCGAAAACTCATTTTAATGATTAACATAGAAAATGTGATTTTCTGATTAATGTCGAAAACAATAAAAACAGAATAAGATCGAAAACTCATTTTAATGATTAACATTAAAAATAAGATTTTCTGGTTAATGTCGAAAACAATAAAAACGGAATAAGATCGAAAATTTTTAATTGTCAAAAATTCTTTTCAATGATTAACATCAAAAATATGATTTTATGATCACGCTTTTATTTTAAGATTATTAAAAGATGCTATTATTTGATTATATAATTAAATATTTAAGATGATATTATTAATTAATTATTAAATACTTAAGATGATGTTAATAAATATTTAACTCTCCATAACTTAATAGCTAATAATCAACATGGTTTCCTCAAGAAACGCTCTACATGCACTAATCTTATATACATATATATATATATATATATATATATATATATATATATATATATATATATATATATATATATATATATATATATATATATATATATATATATATATATATATACATATATATATATATATATACATATATATATATATATATATATATATATATATATATATATATATATATATATATATATATATATATATATATATATATATATATATATATATATATATATATATATATATATATATATATATATATATAAACTAATAAAGGTTGTTGAGAACGCTATCATCCGCTAATCACATATCAGAAATGAAAAATTGCAAGAACTCATCACAATACTAAAATACTGGATGTTCAGGCAAAAAAGATTCAGGTGCATGTAATGTGCATCTTTGCATAACTGCAGATCGTAAATGTTTTGCTGCACTCCATTTCAAAAAATGGAAAACTGATCAGTATTTACTAACTTTTTTAGTATTTTAGATTTTTTAAATATTTAGAATTTTATTTTCAAAAATTTTGTTTTAATAATATTTGTAACATTACAGTAAACGTTTTTTGTTTTATTCTTAAGTTTGTAAATCTAAATGTTTTAATATTTGTGCTATTACATCCTAAAGTCAATTAAAGTGTACATTTTTAATTATATTGAAAATATTGTACGAAAGAGCTAAAGATATTTTGGTTATCTAGGTATGTCCTTATGATTTAAAAACAAATAAAAAATATTGAAATTTTTATGTAGAACTCGCGTGAATCTGAAGAAGTTAAGGTTCTAAATGTTAGAAACTAATCAATAATCGTAGTAGCTAAAACTTATATATCAAAATCATATAATATATGATTTTATACATATTATGTACTAACACGCAACTCAAGCTAAAAATTAAGTATTACTTGATCAATCCATTAAATAGTCTTTTAATATAGTAGCTCTATATGTGAATAATGGTATAAAAATCTTAATTTTCGAGCTAACAGAAAAAGAGACTTTGCAATTACTAATGGGTTAGCTAGAATGTAAATAACTATATAGATATATTATGTATGTAAGGTTATTTTAATTGAAAATTTACTAAGGTATTGTAAATTTGATTTGAAAAAGTCTATGCTAAAATAACTATGTTGCTAAATATATTCATAAGTTATAAAAATTAAAAGGTTTATCTAAAATTTAAGGACTTCTATCTTAAAGACATATATTTAGAAATCTTACTTGATTGGGCCATTTTACAATCTTTTGGTATAGTAGTCACAATTGATTTGAACAAAGATATCTTAGAATGCAATCGAATATTTGAGACAAGGTGGCTGTGGAAGTTGTGTTGGTTTAACTAAAATGTAAATTTGAGTGTATATTATTTGAGATACGTTCGTTATAACTGTTATTAGCCTTCAAAGATGTAAAGTAGGACAACTTACTTGCATAGTCAATTGTATATACTTTATATATATATATATATATATATATATATATATATATATATATATATATATATATATATATATATATATATATATATATATATACATATATATATATATATATATATATATATATATATATATATATATATATATATATATATATATATATATATATATATATATATATATATATATATATATATATGTATATATATATATATATATGTATATATATATATATATATATATATATATATATTTATATATATATATATATATATATATATATATATATATATATACATATATATATATATATATATATATATATATATATATATATATATATATATATACATATATATATATATATATATATATATATATTATATATATATATATATATATATATATATATATATATATATATATATAATTAACCGTAATTAACCATTTCTACTGTAGTTGTATTAAACTAGTCATATTATCTCCAATGAAATAAAAAAACAATTAATTTATATTGGAATAATGCAAAATTTTAGATTAATAGCGAGTTTATATATTTTTACATATTTTTAGCAGCTTATTTGTTTAATATATGTAATTATTTTAAGTTTGTATGTTATTATTTTCGTATAATCAGTACCTTTGCGGTTATTTGTTATCTGCTGATTGTCAATGTTTTTTTTAGTGTCTGTTATTAAAAACTTTTGTAATCCTCATAAAAATCTGTAAAAGGAATAACAAAACATCTCATCCAATCCAATGAAAAATAAAATTACCAAGTAAATTATTCACTATTTTGTGAATGTAAACTATAATATTAGAAATTAAAATAACAACTCAATAAAATATCAAGCTTTTGGATCTTCCAACCGAACAGGCTGGCGATGTGACATTTTGCTGAAATGTTAACACTCATTTGGTTGAAGGTATAACAACACATAACATTAACTTGTAACGAAACTTGTTAAAAGTGTTTTAAATCAGTTAAGTTGTTTAGTTTATAAATACATATATATTACTTTTCAAATACATATATAATATATTTGTAATATATAGTGAAGTATATAAATACATATATGTATTTATATACTATTCTATATATTTATATACTATACTGTATGTATATACATATATATATATATATATATATATATATATATATATATATAATATATATATATATATATATATATATATATATATATATATATATATATATATATGTACTTGTATACTATACTACATACTACATATATGTTTAATATATGTATTTGTATACTATACTATATATTACATACAGGTATAATATATGTATTTGTATACTATACTATATATTACATATATGTATAATATATGTATTTGTGTACTATACTATATATTGCATATATCTATAATACATTTATATATATATATATATATATATATATATATATATATATATATATATATATATATATATATATATATATATATATATATATATATATATATATATATATATTTGTATACTATTCTATATATTATATAGTTGTTGATCTTTTTGCCAATTTTATTTTTTCTAAATATATAGTATGTATATGTATATACATATACATACTATATATTTCGGTCCGTAAAATTTTAGGTTTGGTAGATCTTTCATAAAATAATAAAGTATATGAATAGTAATGCAATAAACAATTAAGTAGCATTTAGATATAGAACATAAGATAAAAACATAACAATTTGAACTCTCTTTTATCTAATTTAAACATTAAAGTCTTGAAATTATCGTTAATGTACCTTTCAAGTAAAACAAGAACTACCTTTATTCCTACATTTTTTTTTAGCTTTAAATTTTTATAAACACCTTTTCATTAGTCTAAGCAATTAGGGGCTGTCCATTAATTACGTCAACAAAATAGGGGGAGGATGTCTGAATTTTTTTGACAATTGTTTGCGAGGGGGAGGGAGGGATGTCGAGAAAAGTTGACGTCAACAATCTTTTTTTTCGAACATGTTCCTTTTTTTGTAATTTAACTACTTAAAAAAAGGAAAATTAGGGAGCGTTTGCTGTACTGTGTGACATAGTCGCATGACCTTCAGTATTTTAATTCCTATCCTATAACTTATATTCCTACTTTTTAAAAACCGTTTTGTGCTTTTAAAAGACCTGACATACAAAACTAAACAATTACACACAAGATATTTAGTCGTAACACTACTATTTTTTCAAAGTTATTTTTGTTTCGGTCTGCAGTCCATTAAAAAAAGATTCATGTAAGTACATTGTCTACATTAAAATTTTTAAACGTTTATACAAGGGATTAAACCTGCAGCTCGCAAGCCTTTTGTAATTTTTTTGATGTCAAGATGAAGCTTATATGAGCATATGTCAGACAATTAACGTTTAAATCATAATATGATTTAGAAGTTAAATACCTGACATATGCTCAACTATTAGAATCATATCTAAAGTACAATGCTAGCAGTTTAATTTGTGATTACTAAAAAAACTCTTGGTTATAAAAATTATTGCATTTCTTTTTTACAGAACAATATTTACAGATATAGTTATTAAGTAAATATTATTTTAAGAAACTCTAAATTTTAAAGGAGTAAAAACGTTACAAAAAATTAATTTACCACTTGCATGTGTACTTAGCTGTTTCCTGCTGCTTCAACTGTTATTGCAACTGACTAGACTAGTATGTAAAATAATAAATAAAGTTAAACATAGGAAAAAAAAAAGTCAACAATAAAAAATTGGCATTGGCTGCGCCAAAAGTATAAATAATATAACATTACTATTCGATCAATACAACATCTATCATAAACAAATAGATGTTAGGTTATAATATAATCAAACAATAAAAATTTAAAATTTAAAAAGACTAATTACCTATTAAAATGCATAATTTTTTTTTCTAAGAGTAGAAAAATTAGGAAGGTAAGAGTTAACTACAGATTTTCTATAGCGTTGTTAAAAACCAAGCAGAAAAAACAGTTTAAGAAATAGTTTAAAAAAATGCTGAAACTGATACTTTTTTGAAACTTCTGCTACTTTTTTGAAACTTCTGCAACACTTTTAAAACTGCTATTTTAGTAGCAGTAAAGAAAAGAATTATCAAAATACATTGTTACTATACTTAAAATTACTTTTAATCGCTCATACAATATTATCGAAGAACTTACAGGACTTTTTAGCTGCTTCATTGGCCACAAAATAATACTAAAAACAAATTTCTTTTATTATTTTTAAACCATTTATTACATAATTTAGGATTTATGAGATTATTATAATTTTTATTCATAATAAAAGATTTAAAATGTCTGTCACATTCTGTATGAAACTAATTTAACTAAGTTAGTCCCGTACAGAAACTGAGTGGTTTAGCTTTTCAAATCAAATTAAATATTTAGAACACGTTTAGAATAGATTCCTAAACGTTTAGAACAACGTAAATGCCATCTAAACGTGATCTAAACCAAATTTAAATCAACAAATGCCCGTTGCGTTAGATACTATCGTTGATGACAAAATTGGTAATAGTGCAGGCAGCATCGATGATTCCATTGGTGACATATTAAAATGAGCCAAAAAAAAATGATTTTTTCGCTAGATTGCATTTATATATTGATTTTGTCAAAAATTTTACTCTTTTTATACTTTGTAAATTTTTGTGTCAATACAGGGATTTAATTACTTATAAAGATACCTTTTTAATATTTTAATTTTGGTTGACACTCGTGATTAATCCTAAAAATACGAGTGTATTAAACTTTGGCGTTGTGCGAAAAAAAAAGACTTCACTTCTTAAAATTTAATTTTGTTTAGAATATTCTTATACCATTTCTTGCAACTATAAAATATTAATTTTTGAGACTCCATTTTTTAATGTTGCTTGAATCGTAGTCGGTATGCAAATACGCTGAATTAAAACAAACACTGAATGAACGGACAAAATTTAGACGTTTAGAAGACGTCAAAAAGCGTCTATTGTGTACCTCCTAACGGACAATTTTGAACAACCTTGGACGTACTTTATAAGTCAAAATGGACGGACAAAAGTCATTGCGTTTGGTACGTCCACTGCAAGACGACGGACATACTTCAGGACGTTCAAACAGATCATTTTGGACAATCGTTGACGTTCAAAGTTTGACAACCATTTTGGACGTCATAAATGACGTCCAAAATGGTTGTCAAATGGTTGGACGTACTATAGACGTCCGTGTACATATTGAGAAATCGTTGAAGTCCAAAATGGTGCATATTGGGACGTACATTGGACGTCAAAAGTTGCACTATTTTGGACTTGAACGGATGGACCTATATGGTGCGCATTATGGACGTCCAATGATGTCCGGTGGCCATTGGGTTTTGTTAACAGTAAATCAAAGTATGTTTAGTGTTTTTAAGTAAACGTTAGTTTTTTGTTAATATAATGTGGCCATTGGGTTTTGTTAACAGTAAATCAAAGTATGTTCAGTGTTTATGAGTAAACGTTAGTTTTTTGTTAATATAATTGCTGTTGTGACAACATTTATTTATAAGTGATTGCTAATATTAATTCAAATTCAACATTGATTAACATTAAGTCAAAACTTCACTTTTTAGAGAGATGAATTCGTTGCTTATAAGCTAAAAATGGACTAAGTTTTAGTGTTTACCTTTTAATTAAAATATAGTTCTCCTAATATCTTTAACTCTTATTTCACCCATATTTTGCATAAATAGCCACAAAAGATGCTAAAAGTAAGTTTGTAATTCCAACATTTAATTTAAGACTGAGTTCATACCAATTTTTATTTCGTGAACCAATTCTATACAAAAAATTTCTTTAATAATATTATTAAAAATAAAACTCTTTTAAGCTTCTGATCAGATAAAAGTCAAATGGGAATCTAAACATTTTTTTATAAAAAAAAACAACTTCAAATTGAAACGCTTCACAAAACAAGAATAAAAAATAAAATAAATAAATAGAAAAAGTCAACACAGTTTTTTGTCTTGAACATCTAACTTTTATTTTTTATTAAGACATACAGTTTATATCCTATAGTTTGTTATTATTATTTTTTGTTATCTAGCAATTGCATAATCTGGGTGTAATTGTGTTGTTTTTTACTTCATTTTTTTTTTAAGATATATTTTTTGTTTATTAATTTTAAAGTAGTAATATTAACTCAAGGCAAGTAGATAAACCCGCTTGCCAATAAGAAAGTGTATGTAATTTCTTGTTACGACTGTTTATTTTATATGTTTTTGCAATTGTATATAGCTTATATTATTTAATTGTTCTGGTTCTTGTTAGGTTATTGGTTCCCATGCAATATTTCTATATTTTGTAACCGTATTGCTATTAGTAGTGTTTATCTTCGAATTAAAGAGTAATATTAAAATGAGGGCGAGATATATTCTTATAGTGTAGTCAAAAAAGACTTGTATGGTAAAAAAAAGTCTCTTTCGACTACAATTTTTTTACCTTGTCTCTTAAGTGCATTTTATTGCCATCAAAATGTCAAAGCAATTAAATTAATGCGGAAGTACATTAAATTTTATTGTTTTTTAAAAAAATTGCAATAGTTATGATTAAAAAGTTTTTTTTGTCAGTGGTGTTTGTTTTTTTTATTATTAAAAGCATTTTTAAAACATGCGTAAGTGTTGCTACATAGACTATCTTATAGCCTGCTTCTAAAAGGGAGTGTTGCTACATCAACTATCTTATAGCCTGGTGCTACAAGGGAGTGTTGCTACGTCGACTATTTTGTAGCCTGATTTGCAAGGGAGTGCTGCTACATTTACTGACAAGCACCCTGACTCGCTAAGTCAGACTGTTTCAATTATAAGTATAACGACCCGTTATACTAATAATTGAACGCTGTATTTCAAAAATGTGACGAGTCACACTTTTTATAAAAGTGAGGTTATTTTAAAAAAATGTTTTTTTTTTGAAAAAGATAAAATTTTTAGATAAAATAAAGATTTTTTTAGATAAAATAAAGATTTTTTTAGATAAAATAAAGATTTTTTTAGATAAAATAAAGATTTTTTTAGATAAAATAAAGATTTTTTTAGATAAAATAAAGATTTTTTAAAATAAAATAAAATTCTATTTAGATATAATAAAAAACTTTTTAGATAAAAGAAAAATTTTTTTAGATAAAAGAAAGTTTTTTTTAGATAAAACCAAAAATTTTTTTTTAGTAAAAAAAAAATTTTTTAAGATAAAAGAAAAAACTTTTTAGAATAATGAAATATTTTTTTAGACAAAAGCAAAATTTTTTAGATAAAAGAAAAAATTTTTTAATATAAAAAAAATTTTAATTTTTCTTAATAAAAAAAAAATTTTAATTTTTCTTGATAAAAAAAAAAATTTAATTTTTCTTAAAAAAAAAAATTTTTTAATTTTTCATAAAAAAAATATTTTTTATAATAAAAAAAAATTTAACTTTTTCTTTATTAAAACTGATTTTAGTGCGTTTAATAATAAATTTAAAGGTATGTTATGAAACTCAATAATACTTGTACAAATATCATTAACATACACAGAATGATCATATTTATTTAGTTCAGTAGCTATAGCGAATTGATCATTTATGATTTCCCTATTATCAATTTCCAGAGCTCGAGTTTGAGTTTTACTGATTTCTTCTAATTGATATATTTATAAAGCAATTTAGGATTTGATTTAAACTTGCTAGCTAAAGTACTTTCTAATTGTTTTATATTGTTCTTAATATCATTCTTTATTCTAATTTTTAGCTTATTATACTGAATTTTTGTTGATTTCTCATTCCAGCCATTACGTTTATTAGCGAGCCATATATTGTTTTTAGTTCTTATTTTATGTTTCAATTCAGGAGTAATCCATTTGTTTCTGTTCCTTCTATTTTGATAATTAATTCTTAGGATAAACAGATTAGTTGCATAATTGTAATGATACAAAAATAAATCATACATTTCATTTATAGATTTATTTTTAAATCTATTTCCTAATCTACATTATTGAAATGGCAAGAAAATAGTTCATAATTTCCTTTTTGATATAATCTAATGGATTTCTTATGTTCGGTTGAAAACTTATAATCATTCGTTAGATAACAACACTCTAACAAATGATGACCCTGTTTGACATTCCCTAAAGGAGCTGAGTGAGTTATAGAAACAATTTTGTTTTTATCGTTTGTGATAATAAGGTCTACAATATAAGTTGATTTGTAGTTTGCTATTTGGAATGTTGGCTCACATACACATTGAAACAGAAAACAATCTTTAAGACATTCAATAAATTTATTAGTTTGAGATTTTTTTTTTTTTTTTTTTTTTTTTTTTCAGTTTACAATTATTAATCGTAATATAACAATATAACAATATATAAACTTGGTATTTAAAAGAAGATCCAAACGATCTTGTCGCCAGAACCATATAAAAGATATAATACGTGTATATATAATAAAATAAAATACAATTGATCAAATAACTAATAACAATGTAGAAGAAACAAAAACTGAAAATAGTTTTACAAATTATCCAGAGTAAAAAAAAAGAATTTTACATTTCAAAAATATTTATATTTATTGCCAGTAGAAAGAATATAGTTTTTTAATTTAGTTTTAAAAACGGAAAACGAAATTGACAAATCAATTTCGTTTTCCGTTTTTTCATTATTTTATGCTAAAGATTCATTATCAGTTGCTAAAAAAGGACAATTA